GCGTGGTGCGCGAGAGCTGCGAGGTGGCCCTGGACATGTACGAGCACGAGAACGCGCCCGCCTTCCAGTACGCCGACGGCCTGGAGCGCCTGCGCGCCGCGCCCTCCTAGGCCCGCCCGGAGCCGGGACCCCGCTAGGCCAGACTGCTGGGGGGGCAGGGGCTGTAACCCTTGCTGTGTTCAGCCCGCCTGCCCCCCCACCTCCCACCTTCCCCACCTTTCCCCTGCTTCCGCATCTCCTCCAGGCCCATCTGAAGCCCCCAGGGCCAGCACAGGACTGGGCGCAGGGTTCTAGGCGCACGGCTGGAAGGGCTGGGCCTGCCCTGCTGTGGGTGTCCAGGGAGGGAACGTTCCGGGAGCGGGGGCGGTGACTGGTTCATGAAGGTGAGGACCCGAGGCCTCTAACCCTGTACCCCCTGGGAGCTGGGTGGTCCCTGCATGGGCTGGGTAGGGGGGCAGGCCTCCGCCCATGTGGAATATTAAATTATTTTTGCCAAGTGCGCGTCTGTGTCGTCTGTCTCTGTCTCTGTCTCTCCATCTCTGTGGGCTCTAGGAGCTGCCCTGCGCGGTGCTGCTGGGTGGTCAAAACCCGGCCCTGCTTCAGCTCCAGTCCCCTGGGGGTGAAGCCTGCCAGTGAGGGGCTCTCGGGAACAGCGCTCCAGCCTGGTCTCCCCAGGCTCTCACTGGGGGCACAGAGGAAGGGCTCCGCGGCCCAGCTAAGAGCCCAGGCTGGAGGTCTCCTTCCCGGCTTCCAGTCCCCACTGCGCTGTGGAGCCGCCCACCTCTGGGGAGTGGGCCCCATCACAGCAGCCAGGCCCATGGGGACCAGAGATGGCATAACGGTTATGTCGCTGGACTCCCATGTAGTCGACCGCGGTGTGAGTCACAGGCCCCGCAGCTTAAACTCAATGCCGGGCGCATGTGTGTGCTTGCCCGGAATCCGGAGAGGAGAATGGAGAGGGGGTTGTGGCCTGGCCAACAACCCCCAGGGGGTGATTTCTCGCTCTCTGCCTGTCTCTGTCTCTGTCTCTCTTGCAAGCGCATGTGCCCTAAAGCAAAAACAAAACACTAAAACCAGGCCCACAGCTGCTCATAGGTGGAAAACCGGGAGACGGGTGGCAAAACCGCCGTGCTGGGAGCCAGGGGTCTGCTGTAGAGCTGGGGGTCTCTGCGGCTGGTCTGTCGCAGGGGTGCTGGCTGGGGTGCTGCAGAGCCCCCCAGTGCCCCGTGCCCGCCACCGAGAACGGACTGTCCCCTAACGAGTGCGGGGGTCGAGGGACCTGGCGTTGGCTGTGGGTGTGGGTGTGGAGTCCTTGGGCTGCTTTTTGTCTGTTGGCTTACTAGAGGGCCTATGTGCGCCTCAGGGGGCGTGAGCGAGCACCCCATGGATGGCCGCTCCGCCCTCTCTTCTCCACTTCTGATTTGGGGCACGCACACGCATGCGCCTGGCATGTCTCTCATGCCACCAGGTCTGGGACTCAAACTGCAGTCAGCCACGTGGGATCCTGCCCCTTAGCCTCGGGGCCTGGAACCGGCCCAGTGTCAGTTTTCACTGGTCACATAACACACCCCATACAGTGGGCGGCACCAACAGCAGTGGGGGTCCTGGCCCCGGGTCTGTTACTGGCCCCCAGCCCCTGGCCTCCCAAGTAGGGGTAGGACAGGAATGTAGCAGCGTTGCCCTGGCCGAGGCGTGCATCTCGCCGCTTGCCCAGCCCTTCATGGGGAAGCCCAGCCCAGCAGACCCGCCCCGAGGCTCCCTCACCACCTGCTCCTTAGCAGTCCTTACCCCTGCGTGGCTCCTCCCGCCGAACTCTCTCCATCTCCCCAGGTGCCCAGCCCCCCCCAGCCGGCTTTCATGCACCTGCTCTGTAAGACCTGTCCCACATGTCCTGTCCTCCCCGAGGTGGCCACCAGAGGGCGCCTGTGAGCACCCAAGTGGGGGCTGGCCCTGCTCTGCCCACAGCCCTCCGGGACTCCCACTTGCAGCAGGGTCAAAGCCCACATCTTCCCTGCGGCCCACAGGGCCCCGCATGTCCCGCCCTACCCTCTGCGCCCTCCCTCTCTCCTCGCTCACTCTGCTCCAGTCACACGGGCTGTTCCCCAATGCCAGGTCTGGTCCTGCCCCAGGGCCTTGGCAGGGCGGGCCTCCGCCTGGACTGCCCTTCCCTCAGCCTCCCGTGGCTGACTCGTCTCCTCTGGGTCTCTGCTCAGATGTCGCTGTGGGCCGGCAGTGGTGGCATGGTGTTAATGCCACGCTCCATGATGCCCCGGCCATGCAGACAGCCCTGTCAGACCCTGGGCCCTCACACGTGTGCCCAGGCAGGGATTCGAACCACTGTCGCCATGTAAGATCTGGTTCCTCGCGGACAGCGCTTTCTGGCTGCACCACGGAGCCGGCCCAGGCTGTGTCCTTCCACGGCTGGGCTGCGTCCTGCTTAGAGTGGCAGCTCCCCGAGGGCGGGCGCTCCACCGCTGAGCCCAGCCCGCAGAGCACGCAGGCACGGGGAGCCAGGGGGAGCCGGGGCCCAGGAAGGACGTGCACCGGTCCTGAGGTCAGGGCGGAGGGGGCCAGCGAGCGGGCTGGCGGGCGGGAGTCTGCCCCGCAGTTAATCCAGGCAGATGGTGGCCGTCTTGGGAAGCCCCCGATCTTCTTAGCACAAAGCCCTTAATACTTCCGCTGCGCGGGTCACCTCCAGCCCTCCTCTGTGCTGGGCGGCCGCCATGCCCGAGCTGGAGGACGAGGAGGAGGCCGAGGGCTGGAGCCCGTCCCCGCCGCTGTACGAGGAGTACCGGCCGCCGCAGCTGGACGCCATCCGGCTGCCCAAGTACACGCTGTACCTGCTGATGGCCGGGCTCCTGGTGCTGGCTGTCACCTACGCCATCGTCGGCCACCTCATCAAAGACCTCGCCCACGACCTGGCTGGGGAGGGCGGGGCGGGGCTGAGGGGTTCCTGCCCGGGC